GTTTCGGGGGGAGGGGGTTTGGGGGGCGCCGCGGGTAATGTGCCTTCTGCCGGTAGTGCGAATATTGGCGTCCGTATTCCGGCTCTTCGCGCTCAGGTAACATTTTTTTCAACCCTTAGGATCTTGAGTGTTATTTCTCGAAGTAATTTATTTAACTAAAACTTTAACTCTTTTCCCAGCTTACTTGATTATTAAGCTGAATTAGTTTATTCTTGCACATGTCAAAATAGTTATAATAGTTTACAGATAAAAATTGTTTATGTTATGTTACTTCTTAACGCTTCTATTCTACTATGAACAGAGTCTGATTAATCTTCGCCGTATAAAAGATATTTTTAGGATGGGCGTCCTGGGTCCCCGCAGGCAGGATTACCTCAAGCCCAAGTCAACCCTGCACTAGTTCAGTTACAGGATCCTGCCACACAAGTTCTATACACTCAGTTAATGACAAACCAATTTTTTCAAAATGTTTTAGCCCAAGCCTCACTGCTGCAACCTGCTGTTGCAGTAGCACAGCAGCAGCAGCCTCAAATTGCTTTGGCGAACCCAACACCAAGCTTAGCAACACAGGCCGTACAGGGTACAGTACCGGCACAACTTTTGTTGCAACCGAGTCAGCAGGTTGGTCATAGGGCCAATAAGTATAAATTTTTTGGATTTTACATCTACCAGTGATTGCTCGTTCATATTTTAAAAAATATGATCTTAACTTTCAGCTATTACAATTTCTTATGATGAATCAGCAGTTAGCTGCTCAAGCACTGCAACAACCTCAAATTAACCCATTTAATCAGACACAGGCTGTACAACTACGGGGTAATTTTTTTACAATATCTTTTTTTTTTTTATATTTTACTGTTTTATACAAGAACTGTTGCTCATTCATGTAGTGAAGATAACATTTTTTAAGTAGCACATAAGACGGTAGAACAGTTGCTGTATTGTTCTAAGTTAATGTTTTTTTAACTTTCCTGTAATTGCTAGGCTTGTCTTGTTATACTCGGTCCACTAGTAGAACTGGTATGATCCGGAAGCTTCTTTTATAAAAAGTAGATTTTTGGAGCTAACAGCAACGAAAATTGGTTTTTCTTCCTGGTATATAACAGAATAAAAGTTTTAAAGGCTTATCATTGGTAGAGTTGAACATAAGTGGTTGAAAATTATTTTTTCTGCATTGCTTCTCTGTTTATTCATTTTTTGTTTTTCTTTTTATTATAATTACACAGGGTAGTACAATTTTTCTGGTATGGGAACGCCACTTTGTTTGTCCTTTTATCAGGTTGTTTTTTATTCAGTTTTATTACTTCAAGGTTTTATTTGGCACAGTAAACAGTTTTTGCTTTGGTTGGAAACGTAAATGGAATAGGAATTTTTGGAAAGAATTGTCGCATTCCTGTACTTTTTTTACCAGTCGCTGATTTTTGTAGGTATTAACATCAACTTATGAAGAGTAAAGTAAAAGTTGTAGGTTTTTGTAATATTGGTTTTTATTCTTTTTGGATAGTTTTTTCACTTTCTTTTTCAGCGTTTTTTTATTTTATTTTATTAGAAGTCAATTTATTCCAACTGGTAATGTTTGCTAACTTTAGATTATTCATTAATCTTAACAGTCATTCATTGTGGCAGTAATTGATCAAAATTTGTAATTATGAATAATAGAGTTGACTAGAATTTTTTATAATGTTTGAAAACTTGTGCAGGATTCTATTTATTTATTTATTTATTTTTATTTTTATTTTTTTGTTTTTATTTTATTTTATTTTTTTTTTTGTTGTTGTTGTTGGAGGTAAACGTTTTTATTAGTTTTTACGTCATCAGTAGTGAATAAGCAGTGATTATGTTTTTTATCTTTTATTTTATTTTATCTATCTATTTTTGGGTTTACAGTGGTGTATTCAGTTCTGGATGTCTCTTGCTAAATTTTTTTTGTTATAAGTAGTATGGAAATATTAGGCTGAAAAATTTTTTTTAATGAATATTCCGAAGACTTGAGTTTTTCGGGTACTGCAGATAAAGGTGGATTTATGAAGGTTTCAATATCGATGACGTTTTTAAAGACTGGGAGACGAAAAGCATAATTTATTAAGATGGATGGAGTGCTTAGTGTTTCATTTTCAGTGGTATTTAATTGTTGTCAATAAGTAACAAGCATCAATTATTTTTTTGGGAAAAGGGTGTTTTATAGTAGGAAGCTGTTTGAGATAACTTTGGGTAATCTGGTTGGGTGAAGAAATTATCAGAATGTTTTTACATTATTTTTTTAAAAACTGGAGTTTTCCTCTTTGTTTTCCATGCTTGTACTGTAGGTTTGTTTCAAAATTTTGTTTTTCATGTAACCACATTTACTTGGCACCCATCTTATCTTCACTTCACCTAATTGAAAATGTTTTTTCAACATTGGAAATTTGTTCGGTTCTCTATTCTGGCACACTTTCTAGTTATTCGTTGTAGAGCTGTTTAGTGAAATGTTGGGACTTGTAGTCTTTGGCTATTTTTATTT